AGGGGGTTGATTCCAATGTGGAATATCTACGAGAGGTTCTTGATGTTGTTGTGGTTGTCTTGGTTGTTGGGGTGGGGTATTGGCATCTTGATGGTGTGGGTTTAGGTTAGGATTGTGAGGTGGAGTGTGATTCATGGCTATGTAGTTTTCAAACGGAACGTCTTAAAAGAAGATACCAACAATTGCAGAACTCGATTCGGTGTCGGTACCACTTGAAGTATGAACTTGGTGTTCTATGTTGATTAGTGGAGAAGAGGAAGAAACTTGAACGAGTTGTTGTTTTTTTGCTTGTCTATCTAACGCTTTCAACCTTTTTTCTTCTTATTCAATCTCCGGATTGTAGAGTAGTTCACCGGTTCTTGTAGAACTTGGCATAAACAATCAAATAACAATAACCAATTCCCCCGGTAACGGCGCCAAAATTTGGTGGGATGTTCAGTCCACCAAGAAAATTACACCCTTTGTTTGAAAATAAAACATAATATAATGGTAAAAAGGGGTATCGATCCTCGGGGAAATGGTTGTATTCAATCACCAATGCAATTTAATAGAACAAGTGTAATAAAACTAACTAACTACAACTAAACTAAAAGGGGGGGTTTTGTGACTGTTCGAAAACTACAAGTCTTGATGTAACATCCCAAAAATCATGACAAAATTTTCATTTTAAAACCATTCCCAAGGTACAATTGATAGAGTTATAGGTTTATCCCAAGGAAATAAAATGATGACATTTCTTATTAGTTGGTATTTGTACTCAAGGTACAATTGATAGTGTTATAGGTTTATCCCAAGAAAATAAAAGGAGGACATTTCTATTGATTAGAAAGTAAATCATATCAAGTAAGATTTAATTTATCCGTTATTATCATTAAGGCTTTAGATAGTTCTTACCGGTTTATATCTCAACTATATATTTGAAAACTTAAACAAAGGTTTCATAATACTGCTTTACCATGTAAAATATAATTATAACTACTATAGTTGTTAATAAAGTTGATTTGGTATCTTATGCCAAATCTTAGACATTCATTAGAAAGGAAGTCATACATCATAGTGCATAGTCCCTTAATAATTCATTTTCTTTACTACTTAGTGAAAATATCATTAGGAATCTTTTATATATAAAAGATTTACATATATCAAATGAACTACATTATTTGCCTTCAATTGTCCCTTTCTTGAAGTTAGAAAATGTGAATGTTATTTATAAAGATAACATTGTAAAAGACGAGTTTGATTTAAAACAATTTTAATTCATAAGTATTTTGTAGATAGAACTTGTTAGTTATAATACTTTACAGTTCTTATTAAGAGATCTAGTCTCATAAAAAAAGATTTTAATCATTTTCGAATATGAAGATGGTCATTATGAAAAAAAGATTTAAGTAAATAGTCAATCATTCATAAATTAACTGAGACATATATTTAGACAAGCTAAATTAAAACATATATTGTTACAAAACAAATCTTGTTTCACAATACAAGTACATTATGTTCCTACCATAATTAATACACTAAACTCTAAGAGTGCAGTTCCAACTTGATTGTGCTTAGCTGGTTACTCTTCTGTAATATCTGCAAGCTATTTACAAATATTAGATTAACATTTAAGTGCCAAGTACTTGAGTGTTATATGAAAATTATGAGTTTTGACTAGTAGATACCTGAAGTACTAGTCTCTTCCAGGCTTTCTTTCCATATATGAGGAGCAATTCATCTTCTAGTGTCCAGTTTGTCAACAGTAGAAACATGGTCCATCTATGTGCGCCTTCTTGCGTCTATTGGGCTTAACGGAGCCATTTCCATGAACTAATGGCCTTTTAGAGCACACCGGGTGACTCTTTTCAACCTTGCATTCTTCCTCTGTATGAACTGGTTCATACCAAAAATCATTGTATCTTCGAAATATTTGCTCAACCTGACGAAACATATAAAATGCTTCTAAGCCTTCCAGTTCCTCCCAAAGTTCTGGAATAACTGAATACAATATCTCTTTAGAAACATCATCAGAATCATTGCAATGCTTCTACCAAACATTATGATTATGTATGTTCTTAATATCAGGTTGTTCATGAATGGGCCCTTTAAGAACGTACAACTTATTATCCCTTTGGATTTTTTCTTTCAAACCACGCATCCATTGGATAATATTGTACCCTTCGAATATTAAATGTTCACGTTGATTTACATGATCATACTGATGCATGGTTGTGAAATTAGATTTGGTTCTCATCTAAAAGATTTAACAAAATTTATTTAGTATTTTCAATATTTAAACTCTTTACTAATAATTAATACCCTTTTTAGTTTCCAAAAACATTAATTATCAAAGTCTAGGATCCAAGTTGCAAAACAAATAAATGGTTAGGTATCATTTATCCATCCATTTGAATCCAACCCGGTAGATATTGATTATCAATTATATTTTACTATATAATTCCTAGCTTTATGGGATCGCTAATAACAAATTTAATTAGACATGTTTGATCTCATCTATTCCTCGAAACTCTATTGCTTAGGTATCCTTTATCATAAAATATTTCCGATCAAATCATTCAGTTCAAAAAACTTGTGTAATCGGCCTATAACTTGGTTATAGAAATGGTGACCATCAAAAGATAGCACTAGGCGGTTAGGTATCATTTATCCCACTAATGCATACAAGAGATGTGCTGAGTGTTTTTCAAAATGGATTGCATAAATTTGAGTTTTGTAAGGGGTTTTTATATGTTTTATAATTCTAGTTTTTAAAAAATATGACATCATGATTATTACATGCATATAATAAGCCAAGGTACCAAATTTCAAAATAAAAATACTTTTAAAGGTTCTATATAAAATGCTATTTTTTATATAATTTAATGCAATTCAATTTTAAATTTAATAACTAGTATTAAGTTTGAGTTTGAGTGCATTTGAACATTTTATATCTTTAATAAAACTTCCTTTTATTACTTATATATTTGGAGTTTGTATAAGGTACAAAAATCACCATTTTAAAACTTATAATTGAGAATTTAAAATTTTACCGTTATTAACGTTTTTATAAAACCGGTTTTTTTTTTAAAAAAATAACTTATTACATCTTATGTTTACAATATAAATTTTGAAAAACAAACTCCATATGATGTTTATTTTTTCCAAAATTATTTTAGTATGTGAAAAACTAATTTATCAACCACACATAATAATTGCATAAAATAAACAAAACAAACATGCATAAAAAAATATGTGCATAAACGTAACCAACTAATGACATTTTTGTGAGCCAACACAAAGAATGTCAAGCCCATTCCTAAAGGGACATTTAAAGGGGCCAAAAATCTTCTTGTAATGTTGTTGTAGAAGCTCCCACTTGAGAAAACACCCATTGCTTGCAAAAGATTGAAAAAGTTTCTTGAAAACAATATTTCAGCAACTGTCGCTAAAAGTCCAACATCCCTTAAGAAACAGATTTAGTGACACTTTTCATAAACTGTCACTAACTTCCCAGCATGCTACTTAAACTCAAAAAATGCACTTTTGTCTTAAAAAAATGAATCCAATTTCATTTTTTGTTACATTTTTATACAAATAAATTATTTCAAAAATGTAATCTATTACTTACAAAAATAAACCAAAAAAACTAATCTGTTTAATTTATTACATACCATATGATAAATAAATTATTACAATCATTTTTATAACAAAAACAACAAACAAAACAACATAATAGCACATTGGTCATTGGCTAGTTTATGCACATCATACATATCAACACACACATAAAACAACCTTTGTTTTTCTAAGACAACTTTAAATGACAAAAGATGAATGAAAACTTGTCATAAAAAAAACAATTATAAAGTTGTCATAGAAAATATGTATGAACTCATTTTCTTACAAAAACAAGTTATCCATATTTTCCAAAAACTAAGATTTACAAAAATCATAAAATCTAACCAAACTTGCAAGGTGGCTCTGATACTAATTGTTGGGTTTTAGTTCAAAAATAGTTTCAAAAACTTATAAAATGGCAAACGGAAGACTTCAAATTTTCAAACATAAGAAGCTAGTTACAACCTACCAATGATCATCTTCCACAACCAAAGAAAAAGATGAAGAAATAACAACCTTTGTAGTTCTTTGGGTCCCTTGGGAGGCTTTTGAAGTTGATGGAGAATATGGAACCTTTGAGACACCAATAATAACTCAACTTGATGTAAAGATGCTTAGTTTTTGTAAGAAAACTCTTCAGCTTTGAACCAAACTCAATTATAGTTCAAAGAGAGCATATACAAGCAACAAATCTTCAAGTATTCAAAGCAAGAGAAAAAAGGGAGAGTGTAGAACTACTCAAGGCCATTCCTTCAAAGAAGAGTGCCCAAAAGTGCAAGCAACTAGCCATTTAAAGCATCTACTTAATCTAAAGGTCCTTAACCATTAAGAACTTTAGACAAGCTTGTACCCCATGCTTTCACCCATACTCATTTCTTTTGAATAAACAAAGTCAAAAGCCTTACATCTTATCCCTAACTCTTGTTTCGGCCATAGAGTAAAAAGGAAGAAAAGAAGAGTTAAAATTTTATAAACAAAGTTTATAAAATTTAAACTTTGTCTTTAGGTAACAGACAAAATGACTCAACTAGTCCAAAAGGTTGTGCATGACTTATTAATTCACACCATATAAAATAATATATTACTTGTTATTGTAAATAATTATTTCCATTATTTAAATATTTTCCCAATTTATTATAAGAGTTTATGAATATTTATTAAAATCAATTATATATATAAATTATGAAACCCCCTTATGAATAGTAAAAAATGCTCATTTTTTATTTTAGCCCATGTACTTTTTATGTTTGTAGGTTTTGTCAATTTTAGTCCATGGTAAAAAATATATATGCATCCTTGGTGTTGTAGGTTTTGTCAATTTTAGTCCATGGTAAAAATTATATATGCATCCTTGGTGTTGAATATGAGGCCGACCTCATTTCAAGGGTCGATCCATCCAAATGAACATCCCTACTCATTTCCACCAACTAGTAAGAATTAAATTGGTGTCCTCATAACAGACTGTCTAAGACAACAGGATTGGATTGCTATCGAATTCCTACCGCCTTCTTTTTTGTTTTATTTATTCCTCTCCTTACATCACCTTGGCTCGATCGTCGATAGCTACCACCACCATTACGTTCTCTCCCGATCAGAATCCATCTATCTCTCATCGACTTCTTCTTTTGTTTGGGTTTTTGTGTCTTCCTCTTCAATTGAAACTTCAAACATCAATGGCTTCGCTTAGCCCTCAATTCCCCGTTTCGTTTTACTCCATCGACTTCTGCCGACATCGGCAAAAGCTTTAACCAAAACTCATGAATTTTCCTCTTCTGTCTGATCCCTTTTTCCTCTTCACTCACTAGATTCTTTCCGGATTTTATGTCGACTGAAACACTTGGTGGGCTTCCGATGTTCCATTCGCTCTCGCCTTCTTCTCTATTTTATTACGACTCGGAATGAGTAGTGATGGTATTTAGAAGAAAGTGTATTTTTGAAAGCCAAGGGTTTCGTGGCCTACGATTGATTGGAGCATAAAACGGTGAACGATGGAAGATGAACATGTATCAATTTAAAGATTGAACAGAAACAGCCTAACTGGAAACGGTGAGGTAGTCCCTTAGTCGTGAACAGTCGTCTCTTTCTAATCTCGGCATCACCTTTTAGCTGTTGATGCCGACTTCGGCTTCTGGAAGTATTATACCGCCTATAATCTCCAATACCTTTACTCCTTCATAGGTATCTATTTCCATTTTCACATCCAATCTGAACTGGGTTCATATCTACAGTATATACAAGTAGAGGATCCCCAAACTTTGGGCTATAACGTTCATCTGTTCTTCTGTTTATCTGCCTTTGTGAAGGAAAACTACTGAAGCAATCATAATCGGGAAAGTTCAAGATGGTCGCCTCAGATAAAATTTAATCATTTTGTAAAGCCAAAAGATAGTGGCGTTTAAGGTACTATCTGTTACCATTCCCAGTTTTAGTAGTATTTGGATTTACATGTCAAAAAAGTTTCTTTCATTTTCGGTTTTGAGATAAGAACTATATGTAGAGACATATAAGCTTATTATATTTCAAATTTATCTTTAGAAAAGTTGTTTACTGATTCCAATTTTCAGGCAGTTTGAGCGACTAATTAGGACCAACCGACTTCTATACCCTTACATTTTTGCAGGTTTTGATCATCAGCTGTGTGGGGTGACCGGGAAAGGTAAGAGGGAAAGAAATCACGGTTCTGTTTGATCCAACTAATGCTTATAGTGTCATTGGCCAACTAAAAAAATCTTTTTATCCTTTTGGTTTAAGAATTAGACATGATCCTTTTAATTTTTTTAGTTTCATAGGGTAACGAATTTGTTATGTTGTAGGTCAGGATGCCAAATTGTAAAAATAATATTTCTTATATTTTGAATTTTTGGATTGAAGATTGAATATTTTTTATGCCTTTTACTTCTTAGGAGATATGGAGGCACCTATCAGGATCCTACCTCCATCTGGTGTCACTGAATGGCATAATCGACCATCTGTTCTTTTTGATTTAAATCTATTTGTTATAAATTTATGGATTTGTTTTTTTTTTCTTTTACAGGTTTCAAAAATTTGAAGGGGTTTGACGATGCTACTTTTTTTCTACTATAGACTAAACCTAATTCCATATTTTTTAGTGAATTGGAGCCAAGGTTTTGAGGTTATTTTGGTGTTATCAATTGGTGTTGGTAGTGGTCGACATTGGCAATAAATGTAAGATATGGTTTGATTTGAACAATCTGGGTTTGATGTTTATCTAATTTTAGTTATACTTTCATTTATGGGATCTACATTTGGTTCTTCTCATGTTTTTGAAGTGGATTTGGTTGTTTGAGTTGTTATTACCAAGTATACTAATCACTTCCCCAAGTCTAGATATAAAAACTATTTTAGTTGTTGGTTGATACTAAATGCTAACATATGTTTGATCTTAGTAAAGGTTACTCATATGCTTGGAAATATTTTACCATTTGTGCTGCCTCAAGCTCCTATTCATTTAATAGCATGCCTCAAGTTGTAATGAATTGAATCTGAGTCAATGGTTAAGAGTAAGGATTTTCACACTGTACTCCAAGAAATCTACTTTTACTTAGGGTATGACAAAGTATCCCATGAATATTTATATGTTTATATTGTTACAGCCTAATAGGTCTAAGAATTGTTTGATGCTAAGGAATATCCTAAATTATACATTGCAAGCCTCAGTTTTAAAGGTAACATTTCATGAAATTGTTTATAAAGACTCGTAGACAAGTGGTGTAGCATAAAAATTTGGGTAAGTTTAATGTTTTCTTGATACACATGAAAAATCTATCCTATTATAGTAATGTCATTTAAATAGATATGGATTCTTCAATTGATAAATTTTACTTTTTCCTAATGTTGTCCATTGCAACATATCGCAGTTTGAGCATAAAATACCTCATATGGCTATTGTAGTTGCTAGACAAGATGAAACCATTCTATTTGATTTCTCTTTCTATTTGTCTTATGTGATGTAATGTGAAATAATTTACTTTTTGTGGATTTGTAGGTGGAAGACAAACAAGAACATGTTTTTTTCAATCCCTGGTATTGTACAATGGAGAGGGAAACCAACAGGATGAACGTGGTTTAAACCGTTAGATGATGAACGGGTTATTGGATTTAAAGATGATGGATGTTAGGTAGGAAATTTTTGGGGAAAACTATGGGTAGCAGGAAAAATGATGGTAGTATCTTAAATATTTTATTCCTTTCAACTGAACTTTCCATATTAGCCAATCTCTTTCCTAATGTTTGTTTCATATTCTGTATTTTACAATTTTAAATTTCTGAAATATTCATGTTCTTTGTTTTTCCTAACTGTGTGATTACAACGAATGAATGTCATTATGCAGTCCGAAAAAACAGATGGTATAGAAGAATAATGAAACGAAGGGATAGGTTGGGTGGAGGGAAAAGAGTCGAGTTGATCAGGCTCGATGACCACGAGAAGCAAAACAAAATCTGTATTTTATTCACTTTCTTATAAATATTGAAGACTTCCAACCCCCGCTACGCGGGGGAACATTCTCTATATCTAATAAATAATCAATTGTATCAAGTTGTTGTTAGTGTGACCCATTAGTATCATATGTTAATTACCAATATCACTTTAATATGATTCTTGAGCATACTAGATCTTTCAGCTTCTACTTGTCGGGCTCTCAGATGCGGAAAGCTTCGTAAAAACTTCAAAATAACTAGACAAATTCGAGATTTATAAAGGAAATCTAGAGGATTTTGGATTTGGTGTGAGAAATAGGAGAAAAGAGAGGCTGCTATTTACAGATCCCATTTTTGGGCAAGGCGCGTTGCGTCTAGAGTCTAGACTAAGGGAGCATCATGCCCTGACATGGTTGGCACTCCCTCCTCCAAAAATGTGACACGTTGCATTTGCTGAGTGGTTCGGCGTCACCCCTTGTATAAGAGTGCGCGCCATGCGTACGAGATTTTCTAAAAATCGTATATTTGTCATATGAGCTCTGTTTTTTATGTTTCTTTATATCCATGTGTAGCTATCGACATGTAATACAACTTTTATTTAGACCCTGTCGTCTAATTCTCACTTTATTTTTAATTTATATTTTTATAAGTCTTAGACTACTAAACTTTGTATAAAAATCATAACGCTTCTATATGAATTCCGTTTTCGACTGTCTTTATATAGACGGAATTGTATTAATGAGATCTTTAACTCTCGTTTATATTGTTTTGCCTAACAATCAACTAATTTTAATTTTGGTTTCTGCGTCGACACAGCTGCGCCGAAACTTTGAAAAATCATAACTTCCTCATATGAAGTTAAATTTGGGCGTTCTCTATATGTACACTCTCGTTTTTGCGATTACTGCAACTTTCATTTAGATTACTTAGGCTAATAAGAAACCCATCTCCGATTCACAAATTACGACACACTTTGTCGTATAGGGTTGAATTTGAAACTTCAAAGGATCATAACTTCTTCATACGAAGTTAGATTTAAGCTTTCCATATATCCCCGAGATCATCTTCATGACTACTTCAACTATCATCAAGGCTATTTATCCAAATTAATAATTTATTTTCACCATTTATTTTATCCCTAATTATTAAGTTATTAGATAAAAAAAGTAATATACACACAAATCACATATATTCAAATAAGTTTTTTTTCATTTATTCATAAAATATTACAATTGTTGGCCGACGTAATTACATCTTTTATAACTAATGCCTAGCGAGAAACGAGGGTGTTACATTGTGGCTCGTCACGGGGTACCTATTTCTATAGTTTTAGATCGTGATTTTCGGTTTACTTCCAGGTTTTGTAAGAGGTTCCATGAGGAGTTGGGTACCAGACTACATTTTAGTACTACATATCATCCGCATATAGATGACCAGAGAGAGGACTATTCAGACTCTCGAGGATATGTTGAGAGCCTGCATCATTGATTTTGGTGGGAGTTGGGACTCCTACCTTCCTTTGGTTGAGTTTCCTATAACAACAACCATCATGTCATCATTGGTATGCCTCCATACGAGCTTCCCTACAGGAAAAGGTGTCGTACCCCAGTTTGTTGGGGAGAGGTTGGACAGAGATTCATGGAGAGCACATAAGTGGTTCTCAAGACGACAGATCTTATTCAGCAGGCTAGACAGAGATTACTAACAGCTCAGAGCCGACAGAAGATTTATGCGGAACGATACCGTTCAGTTTTGGAGTTTCTGGCCAGGGATATGGTACTCTTGAAAGTATCCCCTGGAAGGGTATTATTCGTTTTAGGAAGCGATGAAAGCTAGGCCCCAAGTTTATCAGTCATTTCTGAGTCATGGATTAAGTGGGCAAAGTAACATATCAATTGGATCTGCCGAAGGAGCTCAGTCAGATCCATAGCACTTTCCATGTTTCACAGTTGCGAAAGTGTGTGACCGATAAGTCTGCTACTTTTTCTTTGGATGATATTCATGTTGATGACTAGATGAATTATATTGAGCGATCTATGGCGATTCTTGATAGGAAGATGAATGCCTTTGCACAACAAGATGGTTCGTTTGGTGAAGGTGAAATGGCAGTAACAGAAGGGTTTCAAGTGGACGTGGGAACCTGAGGCAGAGATATGCGAGTACTACCTGAATCTATTTTCAGCTGAGGACTTCGAGGGTAAAATCTAGTTCAAGTGGGGGAGAATTGTAACACCTGTTTCAGGTAAATATTTCATTTATGTTTATGGCAATTAAAGAATTAAAAATGTAGGTTTTATGGTGGCCACAATGTGGTGAAGGATGCACCACGACGTGGTCATGGCCAAATGAACCACGCAACATTTGTGCGCACCACGACATGACAGGTTGTTGGTCACGATGTGGTGGCGGCCAGTATGCAAAACCATATTTTTTTCGGTTTTATGCCTTATTTAAGGGATGTGATGGCTAGGGTTTGCACACCCTCAGCTTCCATCGCCTCCCTTTTGACCTAGAGAAAACCCTAGCCTCCATTGTTGATCTTGTGAGTATTTGTGGTGGTTTTTGGTCCTTTGAAGAAGAAGAAGAAGGTGTCTTTGGTGCATTGTTCCAGCAAGTTGACTTTTGGTCATGTAGCCTTCACAATTGTTTTGTCATGTAGCTGCCACGATGTGGTCTATGGGTGGCCACGACGTGGAGGTCAGCTGGTATGGACTTTGACCGTTGAATTGTTGACCAAATTGACTTTTGGTCAACTTGACGGTTTTAGGGTGTATAGTGAAAGGGTACTTCTATATTGTTGGTTAGGTGATTCTTAGTATCGGTCTTCACTGTCAGAGAGCTGTTGTGCTAGCCTGTTGTTGCGAGGTGAGTCTTCTCACTATATTACCATGTCATAGTAGGGTGTATGCTAGAATAACTGAATCTTAATTGTTGATTGTTGTTATGATAACTCCAAGACTGCTAATAGTCCATAGGGCTGCTGATAACCTATAGGGCTGCTGTGAGCCCACAAGATTGTTGATAGTCCTTAGGACTACTGATAGTCCCAGGGTTTCTGATAACTCATAGTTGTTTATTATGTTGTGATGTATGTGATATTTTAGGAAACTCGCTAAGCTTCGTGCTTGCAGTTGTGGATTTAAATGTGTTTCAAATACTTCAAATGATCATAGGAAGGTGAAAGCTTGATTGTACACACTCATCGGCAGTTTTCGTGATTCCGCATTTTATGATACTTTGAATTTTGGGATGACTGTATTTTGATACTTATGGCTTTCTTGACTTGGTTTTATGGAAACAATGTTTTTATCTAATTTAAAAATGAAAGTTTTGGTTGTGAAAAATTGGACGTTATATGTAATTTTGCATATTTCGCAAGCTTTCAACTACTTTTGTCAAACACTCATATAACAAATAAAAGCTACAGCTTCCAGCTACCAACAACCAACTACCCGCTACCTGCTACCAGCTACCCGCTATCCGGTATAAGCTTCCAGCTAACAATTACTTTTTCCAAAAACGGCCTTCAACTTTTTTTCTTAAGCGTGATACAAAATGGCACGTGATAAATACGACTTTGATCCCATATCTTCATGATAAACAAACTTACTAAGTTCTTTTATTTTATAAATATAAGTCTGCCTTAAAAGTTAAAATATTTACTATTAGTCATATTTAAGTATCATGAACATCTTATATATTTGTAAGGGTGCTTTATGTAAATTTATTGTATATAAATATACTCCCTTCACAATCTCGTGGGGTGGTGAATCATTACTTCTTTATAGTATCAAGAGCCTTCAGATATTTCTTCCCTGCCTCTCGTTTCCCCTCCCTTTGTCGGTTCTTGCCTTTCCTTCTTCCAACTCTTGTGTTTTCTCTCTCTTGATTCAATGGTTTCTTCCTCGTCATCTACCCAGGAAACTGATCTTCCCATGAATACAATTCTCCACTTAATCACTATCAAGTTATCCTCTACAAATTACTTACTTTGGACAAATCAAATGACTCATCTTCTCATCTATCAAGGCGTGTTGGGACATGTTGATAGGTCTTCCTCACTCCCGGACGAATTCACTGATGTTGGAAAGTCGACTCCAAATCCAGCCTTTCAAGAGTGAATTTCAGCCGATCAATGCATCATCCTTCTTCTTCGTGCTTCTCTGACGGAAGAAGCTTTCTATAAAGTTGTCAGTCTCTCTACTCCGCACACGATCTGGCTTGCCCTTGAACGTGCATATGGGAGCTCGTCCATGGAGAGGATTAAAACCCTTCGTGATCAATTACGCCATCTCACAAAGGGTAATCATTATGTTTCTAATTTGATAGACGTTTTAAAAATATTTGCGTCCAACTCTCGGCTATTGGTCAACCTGTTGAGGAATCAGACAAGACTCATTGGTTCATATGTGGTCTTGGAGACGCTTTTGAGACCTTCTCTACGGCTGTCCGAGCTTCCTGCGTCCCCTCTGTTTTTCGTGATCTATTAACACAATCGGAGGGACATGAGATGTTCCTTCAATCGATTCATGGTTCCTCCCCACGTGTTGTTTTTGCTGCACAACAGGACCATCATTACCCTCTCTTGGCGACTCCTTTGCCGACTGAACCAACCGCCTCATTTATTGGCCCCACTCAACAGGGGTCTTTTTCCTCCACTGGTTTTCGAGGTAGAGGTGGTCGTGCTTCTCGGGGTTGTCACGGCCGTAGTCAACGACCCCCTCACTGTCAACTTTGTCGCAACAATGGACACTATGCGTATGCATGCCCTCAACTTGCATCCTTTTCTAATGCATATCCCACTCGTAATTCTGAAATTTCTCGAGATTTTCACACGCAATGTCATGTGAACACTTCTGCACCGAATTGATATGTGGATTCTGGGGCCTCGGATCAAATGGTCTCGTCTTCTGCCTTGGTCACAAATTCCACACCTTCTGTTGGCGAGGCCTCAATTTTATTTGGTAATGACACTTCTCTCCCTATCTCTCGTGTTGGGACTTCCACCATTGCGAATAATGTTTGTTTACATGATGTTTTGGTTATTCCTAACCTTACCAAAAATTTATTGTCCGTCAGTAAACTAACTCGTGACAATGATGTGGATGCTGTTTTTTCCCGCAATTTATTTACTATTC